TTATTCACATATTCGGTTCCGCCAATTAAGACATATATGAATATAATTCGTTGACACATTAACAAGACTGAGAACTATAAAAATTAATATGCCTTTTATGGGTGCTTTCGATCAACAATTTATGTACGTTATCTACGTAATCTAGTTGAGAATCGATTTGAATGTAAAATAAATCAATAGAGATAGTCATACCTAGTATAGCCACATCATAACTGGCATTATACTCTAAACAAATGAAGAAAAGATTGATCGATTAGGCAATTGATTGATTGATTGATTGATTGATTGATTGACTGATTGATTGATTGTTTGATTGATTGAATGATTGATTGATTGATCGATGGATCGATCGATTGATTGATTGATTGATCAAGGTGATTGATTGTTAATGATACTCATATCGAGATTGCTTTAGTTTATGATAAATTCATTGAAATTTATTGAAGTTTGGTTTTGATTGCTTTAAATAAAGGTATATAGATTATGATTTGAGGTCAATTTGTGGTAAATATAGTTAGCTGTTTTCTGATAGTTTGGTTCAAGTAAGTTCGGGTGGAGTATGGATTGTTTTACTTGATGGGTGGATTGTGGATGCTCTCCTTGTTTGTGTCCAGTCTATAAGAACATTGTTGCACCATTTCAACATAACATACTATGTCATGTAGCGTACTCCAACCGAAAGCGTGATAGATCGAACTTATCACGTCACGCAACGCCCCGTGACCACGTCAAAAAACAAAAGCCGGTAGACTAAAAAAATTCATTGAACAAAATAGTACTTAAGTAAAACACAAGGGATATCTAAAATATATATTGGAACTCGCATTGAAGTTTTCAGTAATACAGTAATRTTCAAACCATATTTCACGAAATTCCTACATACCAGCGCCGATAACTTAACGACCCATGACGTCACTTAGCGACGATTGTTATATATCTCGTGTGTTAGATCCCCTGAGTATTTGATAAACTAACTGTCGAATCCCGAATAAAAGTCAATGACGTTAACAGARCTTTGATTTGGGAGATCTACACTAGAGTTATGCCTAGTTAAAGGTTAGTATACGAATTTCGCAGCTGTTGTAATTAAGAAATATAGAGCTTCTCTATTCTTGACAACATTCAAATCTGCACGACGATTACGAAGTTTGTAAACTTGCATAATATCCTAACAATCTATTTCTGCTAATAATATTTTATTTAGAGACATGCAACCAAGAAAATAACCTATTTATGATGCACAAAGTATACTACATTCTTGATGTTTGTTACTGCGTGTCTGAGTTGAAGTTATAGCAACTGAAATTGGAACTATTCGAGCAAATCGAAGWCGTTGTTTAGATAATTGGTGTATGAATTATGACAGCGACTGACTCGTGGAGTAATGAACATACACTTCATTTTGTAGATATGAAGATCTTGATGGATAATAAGTTATAATGGGGACAAGAAGCTTAGGTGAGTGTAAGCACAGGTTTGGAGGGAAACTAACTTATAACATGGAAATTTTAGCTCATGTTACAAAACGAGTTTAGTCTCAACGGAAGCGTCCTTAGAAACCGGCGAAGTAGTTCCTGRRWTTGATTTATTTATATTTTGTTCCTTCACTTTCGCTACTCGAACTTCAATAAGATAACAGTTTTAGCTTTGGCATTTTAAGATATATGTAATGAAATGTCGAAAGCGTGATTTCTTGATTGATTGTGGCTTCATTCTTTGAATATGCGTCATCATAAAATAGACAAAGTTTACCATTGAATTGACAATCGTTGGGATCAAAGATTTGACAGTTTAGCGCAATGTTATAACAGGATTTAGTTATGTTAATATCAAAGCAAAACAATTTTCTAAACATGCACATATTAAGTATCAATTTCAAAGACTCAATATAAATTCAAAAACAATCGCTCAAACAACGTTCAATCAATTAATATTTTTTGTCACAAGAATTCCTTCATTTCTTAAAATTATCCTCTTATGATCCATCTCTCCCACTAATTTTCATACGAAGTTTATTAACTTTAAAGCCTTTAAACCATTTACCAAGCAATTTTTTTGAAGAATTCTTGTTATAAATGTATCAAAATTCCAGAAGAATAWATTTGTGTATTCTAATAGTCTTGTAAAGCGAAAAATTGAATGCTTGTCAGCTTTGGGTTATTCAGTAATCGAAGTGCCTCCTGTTTTCTCATTTTGTAAATAGCCACCCCCAATTTTATCCTACAAAACTATGGAGATAAGAATCATGAAAAATTATATAAATGAATAACATGAAAAAATAGAAACTGAATGAGACTTATTATAAAAAATTTAAAGCAATGTTCACCCAGAAGAATTATTTTATTTTCAGCTTGTTTATCCAATTGTTGCCCTTTTCTCATCTCCCTTTTCGACCTTCCAGGTATTTTATTTATTGTTGCTGCAGCAATACTGACCAAGGTCGAAGGTGATGGAGYTATAAGTTTTGTGGATAGCAAAATTTATGTGGACGAAAGCTCAGGAAATGCAGTCTTAAAAGTGAAAAGAACTGGTGGAAGTTCTGGAGAGATTCTTTTTTCATGTCAGGTATGTGTAAGCACAAATAGAGGGAAAGTATATGTTATTTACCGGCTGGGAGGTCCATATAGGAAAACACTGCCCGAGGTCTTGACAGTACGGAACAARCGCAGCGAGGTCCGTACATAAAAGACCGAGAGCAGTGTTTTCCTATATACGGACCAACCTATAGCCGGTAAATAACATTTTTATTTATTTTTTATTTGTATTTTATGCAACTTTGCTTGCAGCCTACAATGTAGCTGCAGGATACCATTGGACCGGGCAGATCGTGAAAAACTGGACCGCGCGCTAGCCAATCACAGCGCGCGAATGACTAGGATACCAGAACAGAAAAAAATAAAGATAAATTATGTTAATTTATGTGATTTATATTTAATGTATGCACATTATTCTAATTCATGATCATGAGAGAAAGGGAAGACATTGGCTTGACACAGGAAAAAGTCTGAGAAAATATATCTAATTTATCTACACGGCAAAAAAAAA